GGAGCTGGGGGGGTGACCTGGGTTTCTCCACTCGTGCCCCTGCCAGGGGGCACAGCCCAGGCAGTGGGGAGCCCACGGTGGGGGGCAGAGCTCTGATGATTCGGGTTTGCTGCTCCATCCCAGCTCTCTAACCAGGTCCCCAGCACATGCTGGAGGAGAGGGCTGAACCGTGGGCTCCTTCTGACCCCCAGCATCTCCCGGGGCTCGGATGCTCCTTCCTGACCAGGGTTCCATCCCTTTTTTCCCCTTAGCGAGGGCCACCAGGAGAGCCCGGCCCGCGGGGCCCCCCCGGCCCCCCAGGAGTGCCCGGAGCGGCCAGGCTCGCCGGCAGCGCCGGGAAGTGGGGCGGGCTGGAGGGAGGGAGGGGACCTGCAGCACAAAGAGGGACATTGTGTGCAGGCAGGGGCTCGGTGGAGAGCAGGGCACGGCGATTCCGAGTTGTTCCTGCACTGCTCAGCTCCCAGGCTTTTGGGAAAGGTCCCTGCAGAGCATCCCTGGCTTTGCTGGTGGCTCTGGGGGAGCACAGGTCCTGCACCCCAGCTCCATCCACCCCCAGGACGGCAATGGTCTCCTGACCACCTTGTGTGGAGCCTGAAATGGTTTTTTGGGGAGCACAGCAACAGGGAGGTTTGGGTGCTTGGGGCAACCCTGTCCTGGCAGCAGAGGATGCTCAGAGGGGTTGAGTGCAGGGAGGGAACCAGAGGGGCCATTAGGGAGCAGGACACCCAGGTTGGGTGCAGGGAGGGGAGCAGGACACCCAGTTTGGTTTCCCACAGAGCTGAGACGTGGCCAAGGGCTGTGGCAGTGGGGGTGGCTCCCTGAACAGAGGGCAGGTCTGTGAGCCAGCAGAAAGAACCCTTTCTCCCACCCTTGTCCCCACTCCCCCTGTCCCAGGGTGTTATTTACAGCCAGAGCAGCCAAAGCCTTCCCCAAACCCCAGCACAGCCCTCAGTTCCCAGTGCCAGCCCCATCCTGACCTTGCTGCTGTGCTGGGGGATCCAGCATCTTGCTCCAGCTTGAGGAGGCAGGTGGGAGACACGGGTCCTGAGCCCCCCATGCTGCCAGGCCAGGCTCCATCGGGTGACAGATCCCTTTTTATAACTTTCTTCCCTTTCCCCAGGGTGACAAAGGCTCTGCTGGTGTCCCTGGGTCACCGGTGAGTACTCAAGCTTCACCCCAGCACGTGGACAGTCTCATCCCTCCTGGAAGAGCTGCTTCTAATCTGCTCCCCCCACTTCTCTTTTAAAGGGTGTCAAGGGGGAGCCCGGAGTCCCTGGTGCAGACGGGCTCCCAGGGAAGCCAGGCATTGATGTGAGTACCAACCCCCTGCCCAGCTCACTGCAGGGTCTCAGCAAACTCCAGCTCAGGGATCTGTTTCTGCCACACATAAGGAAGCACCCAAACCCTTGAAAGTGGGAGCCAAAGGCACTTTTGAATCACAGCAGGAAAGGCAGGCAGAGGGTGGGCAGGGCTGCTCGGCACCCCCTCCCACTGCCCAGGCTCCAAAAGAGCATCCCTGCTCCACACAGAGTGGGAGTTGTGCCAGGAGAGCCCGGGCACAGCCCCGACACCCCTGAACATGGAAAAGCTTTTCCTTGTCCTTTGCTGCTGTCCTGAGCTCTGGTTCAGCTCTTGTTTCCTCCAGAGTAAATCTGGAGCCACCCACCCGTGTCCATGGGTGGCTTC